GATTGCTAACACTAATCGCTTTTCTTCGGTGATGAAAACGCGTGAAAATTCGCATCCTTTATAAGGTACGCACCAGTAATACATTGAACTTGACCACACGCATATGTAATGCGCCAAGTAAGAAATACGGGCGATGTTCGAGGAAACAAATGCTTAGGAAGCACCACTGTAGTCTAAGTAGACACACACGACGGCACGGGCGTTTCTGCTGTCTTGAGAGTGCCGCCACGACGTCGCCGCACGAGCAGGTGGATCATCCCTTCTAGTACGTGCTGGGTTATCATAGCGACACACGACGAATGGAATAAACCAAGGGGTTCGTTCTGCTGGGAACTACGTTGCTGTCTGTTCCTTCCTCGCACCGCAAAGCACACGACAGTTTGAACGATGGCTCACCCAATGGCGCTGCGTGTCCGCGAGGCAGCGGCTCCACCGTTCCACGCCCAAGGCCAGCGCGTTGTACGCCGCAGATTAAATAAGGGAGCGAAGAGCGGCGTGCGTGCTTTCGCATTCAGAACTCATAAGAAGTGCTTAGGTGTACCTCGATCCTTTTAAACCTCAACTAAAAAAAAGTGAGAAATCATGTGTCCATGACGTGCTTGAGCACCGGAGGCGATGACCCCAAACTTTCGCCGTGCTTTTTAAGCACACCATGAAACCTGTCATTTTCAAGTAATGATAACTGTGCCGTCACAGCACTCGTTGGCCATGAACGCGAATTCAAATATTTGTCGAAGGGTCGATGGTTGACGAGCGCATGCACCCGAAGTACGGCGTGCTCGTGAACAATGCGTGAGCTGGGCTCGGCTGACGTGGTTCAGCACCCCGGATGCATTACAGTGAAAAGACGGAGGGCATTTTAAGGAAAAAAGAGCTACGATGTAGTCGGCTATATTTTCAAATGATTGTACCAAAAAGGCGGTTTATGATTTTTCCGCTTTTGGTGTAGTGTTAATTTTCCGCACTAAACAATATGCGATTTGTCACGTCCTAAATTATCCCAGTCAAAAATTCATTTCTTGCCCCCTTAAAGGGGCCATTCAGCGATTTTCACTTGTTAATATTTTTTTTCTTCTTTTTACACGAGTGCCTGTCTGTACCTTCAAGGCACAGACAGGCACGCAGGTATTCTTCGAAGTAACGCCACTGATCTAGAAACTCCTTTGTTGCGGAGCAAATTCCAGGGAAAGAGCGAGCGTTTTCTTTCAGTCTCTCCTTCGCAAAACTTGATGACGTAGCAGTGGGGTCGCCATATCCTCCAGTGACGGTATTTCAGTGCGACCTATAAATTTTTTTTTCTCAGTGGCACCGCCATCTTGAATTGTTGTCACTTCCAGTATGAAAACATTATAATAATAATGATAAATCTTTATTTTGTTTCATCACTGAAACGGGGGCCAAGACAAAAAGGTGCTGCAGCAGCTTGGCGGAGGTCCTGGTCCCCTTTACTGCAGGCGATTCCCAAGCAATTTCAAAAACGAACAAAACAGCTGCATTGAGAGAAAGAACACTATTTTAAATTTACAGACCACAGATCAAACAAAAACAAGAGATAAAAGGAAATTAATGCATTTAATCTAGTATACAACGGTACAGTGATCAGTATGCCTTAGCCGTACCTAAGAAAACAACCCTAAAATAAAGCTCGTACCTCTGCCAGCGTCATTGCATAAATATCAACACCTTTTAGAAATAATACATTTAGTAAAGTACTTAATTGGTAATTTAGCGAGTGGTCATAGTATAATGTAAGCGATGGTGAAACAAACCATTTTTCTTTAGGGCGGAGTTGATATTAGGAAGTCGAAAAGACTAGGTCATATTATTCCTCAAAAAGTTTATTTTTAAACTGCGTAGACTTCTTGTACGCCACACGAAGTCGACACCTGTAAATATTTGAAATAGGTTTTAGATTAAACAATGAGAACAAGTGTTCAGTATGATCATAGTATGAAACATTGGCAGTAGCACGCACAGGTTTCTTTTGTAAAATATGTAGATTATTTATATGTGTTTTGTTGTATTTACCCAAAATACATGACAATAATTAAGTTGGGAATATACCCAAGCATTGTAAAGTTGAAATTGAACACAACGAGGTAACAATGATTGAAACTTGGTAAGCAACCCACTGTTTTCGACAGTTTGGACAAAAGATAATAAACATGTTTATTCCAAGACATATTATTTGTAAACCAAACGCCCAAAGTCTCAATAGTGTCGACAAATTCAATTTGTTCATTGTTCAAAATCAGTGGGTTTGTAATAATAACTGTAGCATGTTGACTTTTAAATAAAATGGCTTTGATGTTTTGCGAATTTAACTTAAGGTGATTATCTTTTGTCCATTTTTCAACACGTTGAAGAACGATATTACATTTAGTTACTAGAGTACGGATATCTTCATTGGAAAAGAAGATGCTAGTGTCAGCAGCATATATAATGAACACAACTTTAAGATCACGGTTTACATACACAATGTCGTTAATATGAAGAATAAAAAGTAAGAGGCCTAAAATGCTGGTTTGGGGCACACCAATTGTTATTTTGAAATATCAGATTTAAAGTTTAATATAGACATGAACTGAATACAATTCTGTAAGTAAGATTGTAACATGATTAATGTTTTGCCACAAATGTCATAGCAATATTTTGCCGTCGCCACGCCAATAGAATACATTTAGAGTATAAGCGTAACCTTTGCCCATTTTCGTTTTGCCTCCCCTCTCTTTTTTTTTTTTACTATTTTCAGGTTGAAATGTTTTATTTTTTTTTCGTCTGCCGTACCGGATATGCCTATCAGGTGGCTGGGGACGGGAGTACACGAAAAAAGGTCTCACTCGATTTGGGCTAGTGATAATCAATAGCTCGACAAGCATTCGGGTAGCGGCCCGCGTCTAATCGCTGAAATGACGACAAAATCCGAACAATAACAATATCTGAAACTCAGCGAGTTCCCTGTCCCATGCCTACCCCACCGCGTGGCTATGATCCACAATGTCGGCATAAAATCGGCTGCACATCACGTGACTGCTTAGTCTGGTTGCCAGTTGAGGAGTTGAACGCTGCTCGTGTTTGTTTAAGGTGCAACCCCACCCTTGGTTAGTGTGATTCTGAACCAATAGATGGCGGTGGGATCGCCTTCCAGGCCTGTACATCAATGCGAGAAATTGTGCGTGGTGGCGCTTCGATACAGTGGGGTATATTTCTATGTCCTGAATTTGACATCCCTGGTCCCTGGCTTGTTCTTCTCTGCACGAGCTTTCTTTGAAGCGCGCACGGCTGCGCCAGTTCTCGTGCAAGGGGGCCAATTACCTACGCTCCGAGCTCATGTCTCCAGCAAATGTGGGCAGAAAAAAACGCGAAAATCGTCCTGAGCCAAATGACGAGACACATGCATAACAAAACCATCGACGCGTTGAAAAATATAAAATTGCCCGTGCGCCGCTATTGGATATTTCAGAGGCCAATTACACATATTTCAATGTGATCAGATTTATATTGTCACGAATGAAGGTGTCGAGAGGACGAACAGTGAAGTGAAAAATAAAGGTTTTATCGGCGAACTTGTGCCAAATAAAAAAAGTAAAGAAAGAGCGTCGAGGCCGGCAGCAGAAACATGGCGGCGATTCTGCTGCGTAACTGAGAGCGAGAGCTAGACTGACTCGACAATGTCGCGGGCAGCTGCTTATCTACAGTGCGTCACTATCTCGAAAGTTCGGCAAAGAAAGTTCGAGCGTCACGTGCTCGGGGCGAGGATGACTGGCACTTTCAAGAACAAGAAATCAGGGCGAAAGTTAAGTCTGGTGCAAGAATGAACCCGAATCTTCTAGAAGTCCGTGACCGAGCGTTGCTTTCTCCGCTCTGCGGGCAGCAACGAGACGGGACGGTCCTTTTGTCGTGCATGTGTTTGGCTCTTTGTGGATTTCCAGGAAAACGTGATGACGTGATAGACATGGGTTTCCAAAATTCTAGCTTGAGAAACTAACTACCTAAAATATCAAAACAAATTAACTATTCTTTGGGCGGTCAGGTGTCTCCTTTAGGTAGCTGGGTGTTTAGTTTGACCAAAACCACGAGGCTGGAAAGCACAAAAAATGACACTCAGGTCTAGATGTTGAGTTTGGTAAACTCAAAGCAGGACTGGTGCGGGAGTCATAATAAAAAAAAAAGCCGAGGTTAATAATTCACTCACAGCAATAAATTATAATAATTAATTTTAATACGAATCCAGTGATAAATGCATGACTGGCCAGGCAAAGATTCTGGGTCTGTGGATAGCTTTTGCAGACAGTTTAAGCAATGTACCGTCTGTCACAAAAAAAATAAAGGATTTTTTTTTTTATTGCAAGACTAGACTAGGCATCGCCAAACGCTCATTCTCCGGGCAAAGGTAGCGCTAGAGGTCACAGCCAGATGTCGAAGTTTTAGCCCGATCCGATACCTTATTCAAAAGTTATAAGTGATTTTCTGAAAAGTTCAATGGGAAAATAACGGCCGACGTAGTTTTCGAATGCATGGGGCTCTATGGCACCAGAAACCGAAAACGGGCAAAAACGGGCTCCATTTTCCCTACTGAAAAAAATCGTATGTACGAGAAGTTCATATGTGTTTATCGGACACGAGAAGAAACGAGATTCTTATTTGATACGAGTACTTATAAGAATCCTCGTTTCATATGAGAAGCTATATAAATTCTCGTTTGATATGTGGACTCGTATGATTTCTCATTTGATACGTGGATTCGTATGAGCTCTCATTTGATATGAGAACTCGTAAAAGTTCCCATTTAATACGTGGGGTTGTACGAATTTTAATATCGGAACCTGTACATATTCTCGTTCAAAAATGAGGGCTCATTAAATGAGCAGGTCATAAAATTCATTTTAGGCATTTCATGTGGTATCCACATATGCTGGCTGGACAAATGAATCTCTCAGAAAGTCATAAGTTACCTTTATTTTAGGCAAAGCCCGCTCTGCAACAGGGAAGTAGCATGATTAGGTACGCGATGCTGCCACCACTAGCTCGCTTGTGGGTGCCTGCGCTGCCGCCATCGCTGCTGCTGCCCTCTTCTTGAGCTCCTTCTTCACCCTGCTTCTCTTATCTTGCAGGTACGTTGCAACGTAAGAATTCATTTTGGCCATTCTTTTTTTTACAACTTCTTCTGGCCCTTCACCAATGAAGAAGCCAAAGGCCACTGAAAAACGAAAGAATAGAAGGCACAGCTATTACAGTCGTACACTATAATTAACTCACATAATGGGAATTATGTCCTATATCAAACCAAAACTTATCGATCAATATGCATGAAAACTATATCTCGAATAACGAACCCTACATCGGATATGTCGAAATCTCGAGTGGCGGGCCGCACTCTCCTAATGCATGCAGCAGGCTTCCCCGCTGCACACCCGTGGAAAGCGGTGCGCTGTGCGCGCTCCTGATATCATGCAGTAGGCTTCCCCGCAGACAGTAGTGACGCGCTGGCGCCTGCGACGCCCGCGCTCAAGCACATGGTACCGAAAGCACCATGTAAAACGCAGCGGAGTAGTCATACTCGTTCATTGAATAGACCTACAACTTTTGGGTCACAGAAATGCTTAGAGCATTCCTTCGACAAGGTCGAAGCAACGATTGCCAATTTGAAACCAGATCTCTGCGAGCTCAAGAAAGCGTGGAGTAGGCTGGCCTTTCTGTAGGTGCCAACCAGTATCCATGGGTGAGCTGACGGACATCCAAATTACCGCCGAGTTTGTCCGCAAGCGGTTTGTGCACAAGACCGTAAAACTTGGTTGTGTAGGCATTAGAAACATTGCACTGCACCACTCCCAACCTGGAGCAAATCAGCTTCTCATGGCGTCTCTACCGTGAAATTGCGCACGAAGAACTAAATAGGGTAGAGACGGTTAAGAGTGCCGTTGCAAGGTATGCTATAAGCTTAATAAACAAGCTATGCTGAACGAGTCCTCGAGACCCCAGTAAATGAAATGGTTTCAAATAAGAGTTATTATGAAAGAACAGCCACGCAATAGAAGCTCATTACTGTGCCATCTGCACCGCATTTACACAATTTTCGAGCTGTTTGTTATAAACAAATTCCACCGTAGAACGTGGTTTTAAAAAATTGCACAAGAAACCTTTTCCAACATCAAATTAAGCAATGAATGACACATGAGCAAGATGGTTGCTGGATGCAGTCTCCAGCAGCACATATAGCTTTGCATCAATGCTTCCTTTTTATGTTGCAAAGAGTTTCACATTCACAAGGGCAACGAGGCATTGTCAAAGCAAAGAAATTCAAAAGTCAATCAAAAGTTGGTTGCAGTTACAAGTATGAATAAAGCTGATAGTAAATTTGGATGCAAGTGCAAAGTCATGCAACAGCCAACTCAGAAATCAGTTCATGCTCCAGAAAAGTTGTCTCTTCAAAACACTTTCAACAGACAGCATGGTTATTTCGTACCAAGTAAACATCCCCCCTCTCTATCATCTGCTTCGACAAGGGAAACCGCGATTACTCAGATTATTTTGTTAGTGAAAAGCAAGCTTGTACCTACCTCGAACTGCCTCCAGCTTCTTCGGGGTCATAGGTAGCTTGGCGTCCTCCTCCGGACCCTGGTTCAGGAAACGCCGGGAGCGGTTCCCTGTCACGCTCCGAGCAAGGAGCTCTTCTTCTGTCCACATTGCCAGGCAAGCATTTCTCACAAATTTTGAATCGGTGTCAGATTTATCAGCGCAGTGATTAAACTGCGCTGCCGTCATTGAAACACCACTGCCCAGATCGACCTGCAGAAAAATTGAGAATTACAATGGTTGGGATTAGCAGTATAAAAAGCTATTACTGAGAAGAACTAGACTAATACGTTTTCCAGGATGTTACGTCACAGAATCCCCGTTTCATTCAAGTGTCAAAAAGGTAGGTGTAGTCATTTTAAGCCATGTACTTTCAAGAAGCTCATGCGGACATCCATTTCACAGCATCCCTATTCGTTCTAGCTAGAATATACACTCACCGAATCCAGAATCGTGAGCGGTTCTTGAATTGGGTGAAGAAAACGCAGAACTCAATAAATATTTCAAGGCCCCTGTAGGTTTGTGGACTGTTTAAATTAGGTGAGAACCTAATAATGGCTGCCATTAAAATTTCAATTATAAAAAGTTAATGAATAAATTGTGGTTAATTAGTCAAAATATTGCCATGGTTATATATCCACCCATCTAATGTCTACCAGTCACACCAACAGTCTGTGGAAATGGCATCCAGATTGCAGTGAGCCCTTATCTAAAAATAAAATTTGGATTAAAAAATGTACACCAGTATACTGTACAATACCAAGGGTGTGCCCATATCAGAAGGGCCTAACCCCTACTTTCAAAATGTTCCCAAAATAAGCAAAGGACATAAAATTGTTTTTTTTCCCCCGTGCCGGCGCGGGAAAAAATCGGTTTCTTCCTCGACTCGCCGATCATCCTCTGCTCGACCGCCACCAAGTTTTCCGAGGGAGAACACAAATCCAGTAAGTGACATCCGATTTTTGGTATTTCAAAAAGAGGGGCCGTAGTGCGTGTGCAATTGCGTTAAAAAACATGTCTTACGATTGCCATTATTAAATGTTGTAGAAATGTCACCTAAAAAGCTTCTAAATTTCCTGATTTTTGATGTCACCGATCAAAAGAAGCAAGGAGGTAAGCGGCGGGAAATATATATGCCAAAAATAAAAAGGTAAGTGCGTGCGCGGGAAATTTTTTTGTTTGCCGATGTGGTTTTTTTTTTTGCGTGTCTATGACTACAACCTGCATCGTGTCTATGACTACAACTTGCAATGCAATGACTACAACTTGCAGCGTCACTTGTTCCCTTGTGAAAAGAACAAGTGAAGCTCTGGCACGGGTGCTAGCGAAGGAGGGCATTCAGATTGTTCACAAGCCTATTTAAAAAAAAAATGACCACCGCACTGGCTTTCTTCACACGCGCGCATCCTGGACATCGAAACTAAGCCCCGCCGGGCGTTAGTTTTGATGAATCCACTCAGGTCTCCGAACCAAATGCAAAAGGACTGCAGCATTTTGAATGGTCACATGAATGCTTAAAATTTACAATAAATTTTGCACATAGCTAGACTATCTCCAGCAGTACTTTAAATATGTTTATCTTGAAAGAAATTGCCAAGATAAGTCGGATACGGTTACAAAACCAGAAATGGTCAGCCTACTTGATCAGGGTTCCCAGCGGCAACCGGCACAGGAGGGGGCGGTGGCAACATCAGCTGGGCGCTGGCTGGGGGTTGTACCTTCTCGATAGCCTGGCTTGGTGTCAGAATCTCATCGGGTTCTCTTAACAGCACGACCGCGGAGACCTTGGCAGCAGGAGGTTCCAGGCACTGCTCTTCTGGGCTGCTCACATCATAGTCCAAGACTGAGGTTCCATGAAGGAGAGGGGACATTCCCTTGCCGCTCCTTGAGGCTCCTTAGGGACTGGTTGCTCTAGCGGCAGAGGGAGCCTTCCACTGAAGCAGGCAGGAGCTGCTGGAGCAGACACCGCAGAAGACGACTCCGCTCCTGTTGTTGTTTGCGAAGGCCACAAAAATTGTATCCTCCATGAGCTGTACATCACAGGAGATTCTAAACTGCCACTCTACCCGCTTTAACAGCTATTTCAGACATTTCCGTCATGTCACAACTGGTGAGACTGTTGCTTATGATGGGGTATACAAGATGGTGTCTGATACACTGACCCACTGGCCAGCATTAGCAAAGCATTTACTGCTTCAAAATGCAAGGAGGCATCTAGCCACAATCATAGCAGATATTGTACAAGGGGATATGTTTAGAGGCCAGAGCTACTTTGAATAGATCCCAGCAGGTTGTGGGGTTCAAGCTATTCTGATGTCAGAGATGATCGGTTGTTGCAATGTATTTCTTAGGTTTGCACACAGTAAAAGCATCTTGATTTCCATGCCTTAAATAAAAGACACTATTTACCTTTTTACAGTTATCAACAATGAAAACTACATCTATAATCAATTTACTTTACCATTCAGATGAATAATGTGAAACCAGATTTAGTTTTATTCTGGGAATTTGTTTTGATAGCAATCCGAACTATCATGGCTGTAAGCAGTTAGTTGCAGCAGGTTGTAATTCAGCAAAAATATGTGGACCAGCCTTGTAGGGTTATGCTAATAAAAGGAAAAAATACTTAAAGCCTGAGTAGGACATGCATGTCAAAAGATGCATTTCGCATAAAAAGCAAATGTAATCGGAAGAATGTTTACGGCTTGAGACTCATTTTGCTGTGCAGCTAATTCCTTTGCTTCCGGGGGAGTGATGCAGCCAAATCGGCCAGGTCTGTACTTTTACATTGGCTAGAAAGTTGCTTGATTCATGAAAGTTGTGGGGATTCCTCTGGTCTCCCTTCCTCGATGGCTGTGATAACGGCCGCGGGTCGGAACACTTGGTTTTTTCGCCGTCAGCTCCGACCTGTTCGTGAGGCGGAGGGCCGACTGGTTTGGGGGGCCCTCCTCTCACTCTCTCCCGGGGGGACCTCTTTCCGTCCCCCCGCTCGGATGTGGATCACTGCTGACAGGCGAGGAGGTTTCGCCTCTTGTTTTCCCGCTTTCGGGAAAGGGACTCGTCCGAGTGACGGCGAAAGAGAGAGGACGTGCGTCGGCGACTTCTCCGACGCTTCCCCGGTCTTGGCTCTCCGGAACCCCGCGTCTGGCCAGGTAAGGACCTTTTCTTACCTTGCCGGCGCGGGGGTCATTTTGGATGGGGACATTGTAGTTCATATAGAAGAGTATGTAATAAATGCTCTTGGACCCTGTCCTTACTTTGGTACGTGTGTCTTCTCTTCCGCTATATTCGAGAGAGTGAGACAAGGTAGACGATCATTGGCACCAACGGAGGTAATTAATCGAACCGACCCGCGGTAATGTAGCCCTAAACGTCGTCTACATTGCCGCGGAGATGTGGGGACCGCGGGCTACTAGGTTTGACGTCTCGTTTGAGATATCGCCGCTGTTGAGACAACCCTTTGGTTACTCTATCGATACCTGTGTTAGTTGGTAGCTAGCAAAATCCCACAAAATGGCGTACAACCTCAGCAATGGGCGGGACTGGCTGGGTTCACCGTACATTAAAAAAGTGGAGGAATTGGCAACTCGCATTTTAAATATTACTCCAACTGAAATCTTGTTTCATGAAAAATGTATTTTTTAACATGTGTGTCTTGTCCAGGCTGTTCTCTCAAGTGCCAGAAAGCAACTGAACCAGGGTTACTTCCTTGCTGCTTTTATGACAGCATGCAGTTTCCAAGGTGCGTTGTTGCCCACAATTGTGCATTTGGTCCTTACGATGTTCTGAAGCTATCCAAAACCATTCAAATCGTTCGAGGTATTCTGGCCCTGTCCAAAACTTCTCTCAGGAGGCAGTGTCACTTAACCACTAATTGCTGCAACACAATCCCTTTTCTCCATTTATGAAGTTTGGTACCTTGTTAAAAAAAAAAGGATATGTAATCAGACTACCAATACTAGGGACTCAGAACTCTGCTACCTGCTCTTCCCGCTACTACTGATACAATGTAGTATTAGGACAAAAACAGAAATGATGTGGTGCCACTTAATCTTTTTGTAATGAACTATCGCAGACAAAAGACCCGAGGAGGCGCAAGCGGCAAGTGAAGCGCACTGCTGCGCCGTCAGCCAGCAGTTCGCCTGGTTTCGAGACAACAGAAGAGCGCATGCGTGCCCTACTGTGCATGCAGCAGGCACGTAACCAGGATTTGGTTCCGGGGGGGGGGGGGGGGGGGGGGGCAGGTTCTATGCCCCCCCTAGCTATGTGGCTGGCTTGCAGGCATGCAAGTTTTTCCGCTTCTCTGCATTGCGGTGATTCTGGCGGAATCTGGCGTGAGATGTCGCAACTGATGATAGCGCTTTTAGCTTTGCAGTGCTTCATGCGAGACGAGTGAACTCTGACATTGGAACTAAATTATCTTATTCCTTAGTTCACCTGCTGTGACTTGTCGCTTTATAGGTGCTTTATCAGGAAGGTTGTCCTAATAATTGCGGCATCAAGAAAAACATAGAATCGCCATATTCAGAAACCCAACTTGCTAATGGCCAGCGATACGAGCTGCAAGCGCCATCTCTAGCTGCTGCATCCGCTGTAGACGTTCATCACCAGCGGCCACCGAAGCGGAGCCTTGCACCATACACTGTGGCAAGTATGGTCCCGCAGAAGAGCGAATAAGCACATATGTCCGCAAGCACAGTAGGACTCACATGCGCTCTCCTGTGGTTTAAAAATCAGGCGAGCCACCGGCAGATGGCACAGCTATGCACTTCAATCACCTCTCGCGCGTCCTGAGAACTTTTGTCTGCGATAGTACAACCATCCAATACATAATTCCAAGCTTACCATGCGAAGAAAGAATTAACACATATTGTCACAAAGACCAGGCGCAGAGTCCGAGATGATGACTGGGTAACTCAAACTTGTGCCAAACAAAAGAAGAAAGAAATCACCGCGTACAGCAGTGAGAAGCAAGACTGACTCGACAAGGTCATGCGCGGCTCCTTATCTAGCGCGACATCGATGCTTCAAACATTCGGCACAGGTTCCAGCGTCGGGCATTTGTGGTGAGAATGAGCAGGAAGTTTCCAGAACAAGTATGTAGGATGAAACGATATAAGTTACGGCGCGAGCGAGAATAAACACAAAGTTACCGGGCATTGATGTTCGGCACCGCGGACAGCAATATGGCATAAAATATTGTCATGCTGAATTAACTTACGTAGTCTTGACAGGAATATGGTCTGTATGCTTCTGGAGAGGCTCCTTTCCTCATCAAGCTCCAGCCGGAGACGCTTCACCTCTTGCTTAAGCGCCTTGGCTTTAGCTCGCTGAGCCTCATACAACGCTATAGGAACAGTGCCCTGCGATCCTGAGTAAAGAAGACATTACAACTAAATTGTCAGGGCTGTTGCTACAGAGTAGTAATTGAAGTTTGAGTAAACAATTTAACAGTCACAATCAATAGTTTTAAATAGTGAAATAGGTTGCACATGATTTTATCTATTGAATTTCTGGGATGCTTAGGGCACATAAATTGAGTTACGGCCATGAATAGGCCATCTCAGAAAGCTCCGGAGTGCCCCTTCAAATGCAACATGACAATAGTGGTGCACATCACTTGCCGTCTAAATGCTGCTCTTCAATACGGCGTTTTTTGGAAGTAGTCTTCTCTCCGTGATCTGTCTGCGCAGTGTGTGAAGAGGTTGACTGACCATCCTGGAGACATTGCAGATACAAAACAAAATGTTTAGAAAAAGGAGTTGAAATAAATTGCCATTACTGCTCTAGCATGGAGCTTAGGTCCATTATTTTATAACACAGTTCAATCATTTTCTTTCTACACCACTGTTGCTATGGAAAGCATGGAAGAAAAAGATTAATTAATGTAAAAGCAAAGATATAGAAGGCAGGCTGAAAAAAAAAATAACAGCACATATGTAAACTTTCACAACAGGCGTCAACGTAGGCAACAGAGATGTGCCTAGAGTCGTATTCGGCGCTGCTTTTGCGAGCTGCCACAAAATGCTTCCACTGGGAAACAGAATGGTGGTGGCAGCCGATCAGACTGAACTTATCTATCTAATGCTCTAAAAAATTATCAATTCACAGTAAAGATACCGCAGGACGAGAAGAAAAATGGGATTGTGTGAGCCTGCCGAGGATGCATCACTCGCATTTACTGCCTTGAATGGCCTGTGGCATTGCCTCTCAATAGGAGGATGAAACGTTAATCTAGCCAGGCCTAGTACTCAGTAATGGCAGTTGGCGTTGAAATCTGACAAGGTAATGCGCAGCACTAAAATAAACCCTTGATGAAAATTAGGGCATGTCATGTCCGGTGCCATTTTAACCGGCATGTTTCTCAGCTAACTGTTTCAAGTTGGGCGCCTGGGGTAACATTCTCATGCCCATAATGCAGTCTATCGTAATCCTGGCACGTGGGAGTCATCTGGCTGACCGACCGCCACTGCTGAACCGTTATCACGACCGAGAATGATAGCTTCTGCTCACAGGTGGCACGTGCGGCCCCCTGCCTACAGCAGTCAGTGTCTTTTGACAAGCCAAGTGCCCTTTATGACTGAACTAATATGTCATTACAAAGCTGTGCTAGTCATGATAGCAAAGCTTTGTAATAACAAGGTATGATAGAATGCCCTGAGGCATTACAAGGACTAATTTCCTCATACTGCTCTGAAAGGTACAAGTTTGACTTCTTTCTCTATTTGTTTATATAGAACACTGTCCAGAGGTATGCCAGACAAATGGGTGAGCCCCAATGATATCTAATAAAAATCGTGCAAGCCATTAAATCAATAATTCAGCCCAAAGTTTAGACTCAACAAAGTTGAACACGTGCCAAACTTTGGAGAAAATATTAGTCAAGGACTCAGTCAACGTCTGTGCGGGTGGATGGGTGGCACACAGCACACATGGTATCTAGTAAAGTCATGCAGAAAGTAAATAGCTCTATGCGAGCGGGCATTTTTTTCTGAGGAGCGCATGACTGGTGGCTAACGTTCGATCTAACGCTAGCACCGGGACTCATCCATGCGGACCAGACAGGGCGAAGCTCAACAACGCAAACTGCCGTTATCATCTGAGCCTCAGTCACCACAGTCTGATCGAAAGCGAGTGAGGATTCTAGAAACAACGAAATGAACCATTTTCTTGACCGAGGTCTTTTTTTGTTTTTTTTTTTCTTCTTTACTTATTCGTAATTTTTTTTTTTTTCCCCACGAACTTGCCGTTTATAATTTTGTAAAGCTGTGTGTGAGGCTTTAAGGCTGCATTACACAGTTGTGTTTTGGCTGTTTTTCACTGCCGTGGGAAGGGATACGTGTGTAATAAGACGATTACGATAATCTTATTGCAATGGTAGCTGGCGTCATCGCCAGCGGCTGCGATGGGCCGCAACTCAAGGAAACACACATGTATCGCGAAAAATAAACACTTTCAAAAAAAGAAATTGAGTGTAATACAATCAGTTCCAAACCGCTGAAAGAAAGGGCTCATAGTTATTTTAATTGACTTTTTATTCTCGCGCTCAAACAAGTGGTCGCTGAGCTTGCAGTTTCGAGAATCCTCTTCCCCTTTCAATTAAAACCGCAGTGACACAGGCGCAGATGATAACGGCAGTCAACGTTGATGAGCTCCCTCTATCCGCTCAACATGGGCGAGTCCTGATGCGAGCGCTAATTCCAATGTAAGCCACTAGTCAAGCTCTTCCCAGAGAAAGACTCCCGCTCGGGTGGAGCTATTGAGCATCTGCATGACTGTACATAGTACCATGGCCAATCGGCATAACAAAGTATGCCAACTTGCTGGACGGCAATACGTGGTAGCACGTGTTGGCCAGAAAATCCATTATTATAAGAGTACAGCTATATGCACTTTGTTATGCACCTCAACCGGAAATGGCTATATGCACGACGAGGAGAGCTCACGCCATTTGGGTCACCCTTTTCGGATGGCGCATGCATCACTGGGGAAAGGGTTAAGCCAGACCCCCGCCTGCGTTCACACCTTGCGGCGACAGTGTGCAGCTGCTAATTACGAAACTATTAAAGGGATGGTGAACCGTAATTTAGATTTCAAAAAAACAATGCTGGAGATGTAGACGGGGCGCTACAATCCCTACAACACTACTAGTAAGGCAATATCTCAAATGGACGGCCGTATTTTTGGAAAAAGAAGTCTAGATCGAACCAGGCCGACGAGGCGTGTGACGTCAAGATGCCTAGTTACCTCCTCTCTTCGCTCCCTCAAGGCAACGAGGCGGAAAAGACGCGAGGCCGTTCCCTCTCCTTCTCGGAGAAACATGACGTCAACATTCATGCCAAATGCGCCTCGTTTTTCGAAAAAATACGGTCATCCGTTTGAGATATCGCTGTATGAGTGATGTTTTGGTGTTTGTAGCATCCTGTTGCATGCTTTTGGCGCATGTTTTGGGGGAATCCAGATTTTGGTTCAGCATCCCTTTAACCCGCTTGGCCCTCCCCCCATACACGCCGCCTGGCGGCATGCAGCCAGCAACCCAAGCCCCGCTGTAACTGCAAACTGAGTCCCATTCCATTTAGCTCAGCAAAGTTTCATCAACCTTTTTTTTTTTCTTCTTTTTTCTAGTGTTAATTGTAAAAAAGAAATTTCGTAAGTATCGCCAAATGCTCAGCAAAAAAAAAAAGTATGCCTACACTGGCAATTAAACCGGGCTCCACTGCACATGAAGCAGACACCTTACCACTAAGCTATGCCACCCCTTTGGAAACTGAATGTAACCAATCCTTTGATAGGAGTTTCGCGTTGCACATATAGTCACGTCCGGTCAAGATGCAGGGCGTAGTGCATATAGCTTTACTCTATTTATAAACCACTGTCCAAGAGCAAATAAAAACACAAAATAACAGGAACCTTTTTTTTTTTTTTTTTTTTTTTTTTTAGAAACACAGTCAAAAGCGATCGGGAAAAATGCTACGAACTCAGAATTACCTCCATTGGTTGTCCTTCCCGGTTATCGTGGATGATGCGAGGAATTGCAATCCTCTGCTTGATCATTGACCGCAGCAAGAGGTCTTCGGTTTCTGAATAGAAGTACAGTTCTTTTAGACAAGGTCAATAACACAACCACATGCAATGCACATGACGGCAGTCACGTGCAAGGCATGTGACAGCCGTCCTATTAACGCAGCGTACGGTACGTTGTCACGAGCCTCCGTAAGCGTTCCACATCGTGACATTAACGCTGTTAAAGATTGGCTGCGCGTGCCAAGGAAGCCCTTTTGCAGTGCCCTGTTACGATAGTGCAAGGCATCTTTACGAAGTTCGCTGCTGATTCCTTCAACCTGCGGACTACACGTTATCAATAAAGACTCATGCAGCTGACGGGCCGACCCCGGAGGATAACGCATGTGTAGAGGTGTCAGCCACTCGAGTCTGCAATCACATTAACCTACAGGGTCGGCTCGCGAGTGGAGCCTTGCCCAAGTCATCTGTGTCCGAAATGGCTGCCGATGGGCGCCGCCATGTTGTACACACTAGCGGCATCACATTCGCAGATTTTGTGATCGGTGCCCGCCTCGATGAATTATGTGCCAGCATTAACTTACCTCCAAGCATGACGACTTTTGCTTTGTAGTATCCGGCCTGACTACCATTCTCGTCTACCCAGAAGACCATCTTGGACTTCTCGTGGTCGAAGTCATCCACGTCTCCCGGCGTGAAGCGCTTGATCAAAGTCGTGGGTAGCACGGCCTTGTGCTTGTCCTCATAACGTACGTACGCGAACATGCTCGCTGGTGACGAAAGAACGCTACAACGAACCAGCCAGAAGCGATCGTTGAGCAGGCGCGGAACAAGAAAGAAAGCACTACAAACACGGTATGATAACACTGAAACAAAGAACAAATGAAGCCAACAAAGCGACGAAGCGACAAAAAAAAAAAAAAAAAACACTATCAATGTGGCCAAGTCGTAGTTGCCGTAGTCGCGAATTTAATTATCGGCTAAAGGTGGGAAGTGCTGAAAATTTATACTACCACGAAAATTGCTGAACTCAGAAGTATTAAATAAAAATTTAAGGAACTATTTAAGTCGTTATTATTAAACAGATTGTTCTAGAACATTCGACCCACGGATCCAACCTAATCCAGGCTCAAGCCGGTCCCTGGTTGTTAGGTTTTCCGGTTTCCGGTTCTGCTGCGGTGTTTCTTCCCTTGTGTCGGTCGCCCGCCTTCGTATTGTTTTGCGAGGCTTCAGTTCCATGTTTACAGCGCATCCGAAAGACTGAACCACGACATGACTCTCTGGTAACAGTTGAAATGGAGAACCTAACCGGCCGACCGACAAGAAGGAAAAAGTACCTCGAAAAGGGTGCGGAGTACGTCGTTCCGAAATCTACGCGGCATTACCACCACCAAAAGAAAGCACGCCTAGCCGAATCTGCTTTGGGTTCCGCAGCTGCATTAAGCGTCCCATCTGTTGACCCACCGGGGCACTCAGCGCCAGGCGTTAGCTTGCAGCAACCGGCAACACCAACCGACGAACAGCAGCGGTTAGTGCCGGAGAGTATCGCTGTCGACAACTCGCAACAGCGCCCCGGCGATGATGGCGTTGGATCGACCGGGTCTTTGGCCGAAGACGAACACCACTGGGAAGATCAAAACGGTGGGGGTGCTGACCCACAATCAGACTGGGACGATCTGTCAGACTTCGGAGATTCTGACGTCTTGGGCCGTCGTGCGAAGCCTCCACTGAAGAGCTCATACCGGAAGATGACGATAGCTCCAGGGCTCCTCGAGACTTTGTTTCTGACGACCGTGAAGATCTAATGGGAAGGTGCTTCGCCCAATTCGGCACGTCAACTCTGCCCCACTCCAGCACGACTAAAGCGAGTGCCGTGGCCATGCTCATGTCAATAGTTAACGCACACAATTTCACATGGGGTGCGCTGGACGACATTCTGAAGCTAATAAACAAGATGTTTGGCCAAAATCAGAACGTCTTGCCAGGTAGCAAGTACCTATTCCGAAAGCTGTGGAGCCAAAAAACATCCACAGTTTCAAAGAAGTACTACTACTGTGAGCGTGCAAACTGCTCTGGGCTTCTTCAAGAAGACGGCGCTGGAAAGTCGACGTGCACTGTGTGCAGCACTCCAGCTGACGAGGAATCAGGACGCAGCTACTTCACGATTCTGGATATCAGTCAGCAAGTGAAGCACGTAATCGCAAAAACTAGAGAGGTTCTCAGTCAGAATCTTGACGCCATTGAGACGTCGCTTTCGAGCTCATCGGTCACGGACATCTCCAGTGGTTGTGTGTACCGAAACCTCAAGGAGGCCGCTGCAGTGAAGCCTGGAGACTTGACATTAACCGTAAATACCGACGGGAGCCCTGTGTTCAAGTCGTCCCGCTCTTCCATATGGCCGATCCAGTTCACAGTCAGTGAACTTCCACCAGAGGAACGGTTCCGCAACACAACTCTTGCCGGACTGTGGTTCGGGAAAAAACACCCCAACATGAAGCTCTTCATGAGCAAGTTTGCTGATGCCGTGATGGACATGGACCCGATCCAGTGGACGTATGGGACAGCAGACTACAAGTCACAAGTTCACCTGATCTGCTGCTGTGCAGACGCTCCTGCACGTGCAGCGGTGCAGAACCATGTCCTGTATTCTGGATATTTTGGATGCCCATGGTGTCTGATCAAAGGGGAGCATGTGGCAGGTAGGCTGGCACTCTGTACATCTCCTTTATCTGACATAATTGTGTAGTGCTGGGGGTTACTGCTTCTTATTGCTTGCCTCAAAGTACCACTTCTATGGTGTAAAACAGTCAAGCGTTGAAGTTTAGCAACCAGCATGGCAGACCAAATTACATCAGTTCAAGCTATGTATATTTTTTATGTATGAGGTGCTAGCACAGTGGGCATCAAAATGAGCTGGCTCGTCAGGACGCTGGCCGGAGTGGCAAAACTCCCACATGAGGCATGCCCGTCGCGATACTCCATTGAGAGCGAGGCTAGAAGGACTCTTGTGATTTCGTGAACAGGGGGGGACTGTAATAATGATAAGTGGCACATCTAGGGCGAGCCTGGTGCCACTGTTTGTACATCAGCCTGTTCGTTTTAATGCTTCATCTGAGAGAGCCGCACGCCAGCCATTGTTTTTGTCTTTTTTTGTTTAAGGTCACTTGACACATTATGACATGGAATTTGCGAAGATGGCTCATAGTTTTGAAGTTTGCTGGAAAAAAGAATGAAAAGAAAGAGAGCAAGTCACAGAACTCACAAAAAATTAAAACAATTTTTTCCCCCTTATTCTCAACACGAAAACGAGACAATGAATGGCACACAACTCTCTTAGATGGTGCATCAAACCCTACAGCCAGACATGTAAAGAAGGTTGTTAAGTTCACCCTACATTTGTGGTTTTTCTTTTTTACCATTCTCCCCCGCATATGAAATTGCGGCAGTCTTCCAGTCCCAGATTCAACGACTTATCGAGACAAGGGCGCCCGATGCGGGATTTTTGCCGATCCGACCAGCATTCCAAAAAGCCAGCTTATTTTGACTGCCTTTAAAACTGCAACTACAACATGGCTCATAAAGCACTTAAAAATTTGACGGATTTTGGTTCTGTGACGGTTATCGTCTTATCTAATATCTGCCGAGCCTTGCAAACACAAAGTGAAAACTGCGTTCACTTAACTCTAGCGCTCTTTTTTAAGAAATTTTGATCGAAAGAAAAAGGAATGCTCTGCATAAGCAAGTTTCGGAAAGTCTAGAAGGAATGGAATATTGTATGTGTACTCGTGAAATTATGTAGCGAAAGTGAGACTGGCGGCTCAGTAGTATTATGTGTGAGTATACTTGTATCACGCTTGTGCCAGTATTGTTGTGCAAAGTGTGTAAAATGAAAACCCACAACGTTGCATTGCCTATTATATGTCTATTCATGGGAGTTTTGGTGTCTCAGATAAAAGGTTTGCTTTTGAGATACCTGTGTTAGCTGTGGAACTGTCAGTAACAATGATGAGATTCATATGCTATAATTGCACCTTCTTATTTTTGCAGGATGCATACGCTACCTGCAAGAAGAGGATGAGCCGGCTGAGAGAACAGCGGAGTCCATATCAAGGGACGCAAAACTTGCAGAGCGATTCCGGGAGCCTGTAGAAGGCATCAAAGGACCATCTGCGCTTGCCAGTGCGCCCAACTTCGACCCCGTCTGGGGGTACCCTGTTGATTACATGCACTGTGCGCTACTCGGTGTCACAAAGCAGTTGACAGAGCTCCATCTAGGATCGTCAAATTCCGAGCAGAGATTCTACATTGGTAAGCCTTTTCGTAAAGATAACTACTAGCAAATTTTTTTTTTCTTGGGTTTTTCCAGAGAGTTCTTTCTCTTGTAACGGCTCGTTTGAATTAGTGAATACTGAAAATACTGCTGGAAAGTAGCTACAATTAATCATGAGTACATGAGAGCAAACTAAAAATTGGGGGGCGACGACTCAAAGCATGCTGTGATTGGCAGCAGCAGCTGTTGCTTTGTTGGAACATGCGCTTTAGAAGGAAGCATCTTCGGCCCATCTTTGCTGCCTTCTTTGTGCCTTTTTCTTGTACACGTGGGGACACCCTTGGCACATACAAATTGCCTCTCATGCATAATTGGCATGGTCCTGTGTTTTGCTTTTCTCTTCTGTGGTTCTCCGTCTATACTGCTCAGTGTGGCGCGGTTGCCGTTCCCACTCCTCAGACGGGAAGCAAACCTTCCATTGTCTGGCCATGTCTGGTGGGGGGGGGGGGGGGGGGGGAGGGGGGGGGGGGGGCAGGGCAGGGCAGGGCAGGGCAGGAGAGAACTGAGTGAGCACGCCCGGGCTCTTTGTGGACGTGCCGCAGAACCTTCCAGCTGCCAGTGCAAAATGTGTCAAACGCACGAATGGCGGCTGAAGTGCATCATTGCATCACCTGCCGACATGGTTCAGAGGCCACAGAAAGGTGATGCAAGTGCTTGCAAGCATGTGTGTTCATCTACTCCTGTGCGACACGGGGCTTGCCCCAGAATCTATAGTAAGGTGCTGCTTTGCCAGCCGCCGTGTTAAGTGTCTGCTACAGATACCACTACTGGAGATAGTGCTTGCAGCTTTGCAGTGTATAATGCTGAGTAGGCGCACTCGGCTCCAGATCGAACTGAGGTTTGCTTCAGACTGTGTGTTTCTTTCCTCTTCTTTTCTTTTTCTTGCTGCATGTACCTTTTGCAAGCTTGGCTATTTGTTTGAAACTGAGATATAGTGAGTATCACTCTTTCTGAATGGCATCTATAAAGCAACAAGTCATGGCAAGTTTTTGAGCAATAAGCCAAGCTCATTGTAAAGCTGGGCGCACCTGCTTGGCGGTATGCACCACAAAACTGCAAGCGCTATCTCTATTGGTGGCATCCATACCAGATGCTCATCACACTGGCCACTGAGTAGCATGTTGTGCCAGACTCTGGGGCAAGCACAGTCGGATGGGCATGTGCTTTTCTGTGGTCTCGAAACCAAGTGAGCCGCCAGCAGATAGCGTAGCGATGCACTTCAGTTGCTGCTTGCATGTTCTGGGGACTTCGTAAGGAGTTGGGGTCCTCATTTGTGGGTCAATGATAGAGCTTGTCTTCAAGATTTAGTTTGGTCTACATTGTTCCATTGGGCGCACGCAAGTGAACAATGTGTCGCCCAGAAAATAGCTAAATCGGAGGCAACATACGCAGACAGTATGACCTTGTGTTGCTTACATGAGCTCGACAGAAAATATTGTTATCACGACACACATACCGCACCGGTCTAGTAAAAACAAGGGATCTTGAAACAATTTATTGCATAATCTGCAGCTTTAGAT